CATGAGACAGATGATGCTAAACATAATCTGGAACACAATGGCAGTGTTTTGACGTTGCGATTATTTTTGCAGCTGTCACTTGCAATGCTCAGAGCCATTTTATTTTTCATGAGCGCTTTTTCCATGCGACATTTCTCATCTGGGGTCAAGTCACAAAATTCAGCAAGAAAGCTTTGTTGACCAAAAGAATTACGTGTTTTTCATGGGTCTCTTTTCGAGATGTACGAGACTGACTTTGAGATGTACGAGCTGTCTCTTTTTGAGATGAACCAAGATTGTAGTAAGAATCAGTTTATAACAAATAAATGGGTAGCACTGCTGTTAGAATTAATATGTACCAAATCAGGTAAAAAACCATGTAATGCTACCTCTCTGCCCTGTTGGCCAATTCATGAGGTGAAGGGTGTGTATCAAAGTGTCAACAGTCTGAGAGTGAGGAATATGAATTAAAATGAAAAAGTTTTTCAAAAAAATCCCTGTTATTAACCTGAAGAGAGAATTCGTTACTTCTGCTGATCATAAGGAATAAGGACAGATTAATTATTTTACCTACCTTGGTCAGGAAATTTTTTACATTCCTTTTTTTTTTTTTTAACATTCCTTGGTCTTTATAGACTGTGCCCAGTACTTGGAAGCTGATGGCAGACAATGTTCACAGAAAAACATCTCTTAGGAAGAGCTCAGCCATGGACAGTTCATTTGAGCACCACACCCTGGGTTACTCAGTCGTAGGATACATCAATAAGCTGTACCTCTGTGTTTTATAACCTTCTTGAATCATCCTTTCCCGTACAGATTCAGATTCCATCATTCTTGTTTGTGATCATATTTTAGCAGCACTTTGCATCAATTTACCTAATGGTTTTTATAGCACCTCCTCGCCAGATGTCATCTGGGAGTGTTCCTGGCTCTTCTAGAGACAGCATGATGATCTATCTCCTTGCTGGTGTTGCTGCTTTTGGTGGTTTATTTTATGTAAGTGTTTGGGGATGGAGCTGTTTGTGCTTTCTGAGCTGGCATGGTATAAGACGTGTTCTGGGTTAAAGAGTGTGGTCAAGATGCAAACTGTCAATGAATGTAGATACTGGAGCATATAGCTAAGTGCAGCCTAACTTAGGAATCAGCTTAAGAGAATTTGGTGAAGCTGAAAGCCTATTTCTTGCCTGTTTTACTGTTACTTTGGTAAGTAGTGCTGGGTCATTCTTAGTGGAAAGCATATTCAAAACTATGTGAAATGAGTGTATGCAAAGATGGAGTAAGGCACCTGTCTCTAACCCTTGCCTTGTCTTGCCAACTAGAAACATTAGCAATATCTCAAAGTGGGCAAGGCAGATGTGAAATAAGCAGTCTGAAGCGGCAAGGGGAAGATATAAACCTGGTTAATTTGAGCACAAAAAAAAAGAAGAGTATTAGTACTTCAAGAAAGCATGTTAATGTTTTGTAAGCATCTACTTTTGTTAAGCTTTTTGGTAGCCATTCTCTTACCTGCTTTTAAATATATCTGAGTCTATGCTTCACATCCCTAAAGCCTCCATTTTATACCTTACATCTACCCCTCTCCTCCAAGATCTGAGATAGTGACTAGCACACCCCAGAGGTGTACATATTTCCCTGTCCCACAAAATAATCCTCTTGAATGGTAAGTAGCTATTTGTTCAAAATATCAAACGTGTGATGAATAACATATCCTCTTGCTGTCATATTTTTATCATGTTACAAAAAATAGAAAACTTAATTTAATTGTCTTTGAAAACACTGTTTTCAATTCCTGAAACATTGCAGCACTTCAAAAGCTGCATGGTATATCGTATTTGCTTTCTAACAATGGAGAAATATGAAATACATAAATATATTAGTATAGCAGATTGTTAATTTCTTTTAACCTTGCTTAGGATAAATTTTATATGCATTTTAAGATGGGCAGCAACACTTGTTTAAAATCCCTTTTCTCCCTCTCCCCTCCTTGTGTTTTTGGTGTATTTGTAGGGATGTAGTTGTAAATTCAGGTATAATTCCCTTTCAGGCCTACAGAGTAGTCAGTTCATCACGCAGCAAATATATTGAACACACAAATGCTCTTCGTGAGAGAGACGAGGGGCAGGAAAGCAATCTTTGGTCAAGGAAGGGTGAGTTGAGCTCTTCTCTCTTTTTCTCTGGGTACATGAGGATTTGGAACAGATTTCTAGATTGTTTAATCAGGCTTTAGCACTGTCCAAGTCCTTGTCTGAACTGTGTGAGTGGGAGTGAAGGCAGAGGTGGTTGTGCAGTGTTGTTTTGCTACAAAGCTGCTGCTGCACAAATTTTGGTAGTGGCCTTCATGTTCAGGCAGTGAATCTGGTCTTTGATCCACCTGTGGAGTCTCTTTGGATAAAAGAGTTGATGTGTGAATACTGTTAATTGTATAATGTGCATTTGATTTACTGCAAGCTTAATGAAACTTGACTGAGTACATAATGCTGTCAAAATCAGTTTTGTTCTTTTGTTTTCAGTGGGGGGGTGAAGATAATATCTTTTTCTCAATCAACAGGTTGGATTCAGTGTGCATGCCATCAGGAAATACAGTTCAATAGGGAAAAAACCCCCTACATTTAAAAATATATTTTAACTTGGATCAATTTTTTTGTCCTACAGCTTTGATTTTGTCTTTTCTAATTTGGGGTTAAATGAAATGCAGGCATTACCTAAATATATAGCAAATCCTTACTTAGCTCTTCATGCTTGAATAATTAGACCTTGTTAGTTCAAATACTTGTAATGGAATGTTGTCCCTGTCTACATCAATTAGTGTTATAGCATTAATGTAAAAGGTGGAACTTTGGCAAGCATGGCCTTGCTAGGAAAAGCAATTAGGAACATTTCTTAAGGACCTTTATATATTTTTATTTGGTTGTTATTTAAAAAATAAAGTATTGAAGCCACTTGAAGAGTATTGAAGAGCACTTGAAGCTCTTCTTTTTCTTTTTTTTTTATGCTGACATCTAGGGAATTGATTTAATATATTTGCATGCACACAAATAATAGATTTGAATAAAGTATCCTGAGCTTAAATTTTGTTTTCAGTGTGAGAACATAGTATAAACTGTCTACCTCTAGAATTATTTCTTTAGGAGTTGTTAGCCTTGAACTTCTACAATACATGCTTTAGTTTCAGAACTTTAAAATCACAGCTCTTAAGATTTAAAGTAGTAAAATACCTTAATTTCCAAAAAAGAAAGCAGCTGAACACAGTATAGTTTTAAAACTCATTTTTTTTAAAGTAAATGCTGAGAATTCAGCCACAATTGCAATATTTCATTGTCCCTAAAATAAAAAAATGTGACCAGGACCAAAGGAGATCTCTCCTAGGGACCTGGTCTCCTGCTGTTCAGGGCAGAAATGAGGATTACCCTTATTACATTCTGACTGCCATAGCTGGGAGAGTGGAGAAGCATTAAGCAAACCTTCCAACATATTCCCAGCGATGTCAGTGTATTCCCTCTTTTCTCTTAAGGTGCACTGCTGCAAGGTACTGAGTTTTGGCCCTGTCTTAACCACATGCTGAAGTGAAATACCCATAGTTCTGAGTGGTCAGCAGCTGGTTTTGGATACTCTCCAGACATCCCATCATCTGCTGCTTTGTGCTGCTTAATAAGTCACATAAATGCCACAACCAGTGGCAGATGATTGCTGCCTCCCTTTTTATTGATAGTAAGAGGTCCATATTGTTTCTAAGGCCATTCACTGAATACAGTGAATAAGTAGAAACTTATTTCCTATATTATTTTCAATATTTGACTTCTGAATAAATGCTCAAACCAGTTTTTAGTTGGACTTCTGAGTAGCTAATTCCAATTCACAGTACAAAACCACCATTGAATCAGCTCCTTTTTAAAAATCCTTCATTCCTAGCTGTGTACACCCAAAAGAACAGAACATTAAGAACGAGCATCAATTCTGTTCTTGCTTTTCCTACAGAATCCTCTGTGTGCATTCTCAAAAGAGTTAATACTCCTCTTCCTCCCCTTTTTCTCCTGTTCCCTGCAGAGTCATATTTTTGTGTTTATCTTGTCACAGAGTGTTAGCATAGTATTGCTTTTCCCAGAAGTGCCATTGCAGTTTCTTTCCCTGTGCTTTCTTTAGAGTCAGACCTTACACTTTTTCACAGTAAGCATTGCTGATAAGAGCAGTTAAAATTCTGTTCTTAAAGTATTCTGATATTTTTTGGGGGGGCACATTAAATGAAGTTTAAAATAAGCTCTAAAACAGAGTTGCTAACCATATGAAGTGATGGTTTGAAAAGCAATGTGCCCAGCAGCATGTTCATGGCATATTTGCTGCCTATGGTAAAAAAACTTTCTAGGTGGAAGAACTTAATAGTGGAGAACAACTGATCAGAGATTCTTTTAATTGGATTTTTGTGGTTTCTTATTGGGGGGAAATTCTCCCCTTATGCCTGAACCCAAAATTTCTATTACAGAGAACTGTACATAGCAAATAAGTCAGTCAAAACAAGAGAAACAATCATTCTAGGGTTCTTTGTTTCTGAGAGGGTTGAAATTTTATTTAATGGTATTTTCATTAATGATAACAGACATTTAGAAAGACATCTGATAGCAAATTTTCTGTGGCTCTTTTTAACTGATAGCTACTCTCAAATTACGGAGGGATTTAAAAAGTCCCTGGAAGAAGCCTGACTCAAACTAGCAGTAGAAAATCTGGGACATCATTTGGAATGTAAAATGATGTTTGGCTTGCAGGATGTTCTGCTTGCTTATTTAGTGAATACTGAGTTTTGTCTTCCATTTGTTGTTTGTGTCCTTTAAGCTTATTCCTGATTTCCTTCTTTTTTTAGCTATGATTTTTCTTTTTAACTTGTTGCAAGCTGATTCAATCTTTCTAATCTGTAGTCTGCTTTTACACTTTCCAGACTTTCTAATCTATACTCTGCTTTTACACTTTCCAGACACAAGGGAAATCTCTTTCCAAACCTGAGGAAGTTAAATACAAACAAAGGACAATCGTTTACCATTGAGTACATTGCAGCCTACCTTGGGATGACTTTATACCTTCCATTGTAAAACTCCATTCCTGTGAGACTTTAAAAGAATTACCTATGTTTGCAAGGCCAAACCATATTGAGCTTATTACTGAATCTGCTTTGTAGAAGGCAGTTCTGAGATGGAGAAGCTGGCTGTTCTGAATTAATGCACTCTATATTTGACTGTCCAATAAAGTGTACTGAATGCTGAGCTTGGCTGTTAGCCTGTTCTTTGTGTAATGAATTCAGTTTTTTTTTTTAATATTATTTTCTTAAAGGGACATGATCAGGTTGCATAGTGCAAAGTTTTGATTTTTCCTGAGCAATGAATGGACTTGTCTTGAAACCTGAACACAAAATGATAGGCTTTCACTGGCATAAGAAGACCAATAAATAAAACTGATCTGTTTTGTTTATAAACAGATACAAAAGAATCAAACAAACTCTGACTATGTCTCTTTAAGCTCTTTTGTTTCAATTCTCACATAGTTTACACTGTATTACAAACTCTATTTCCAGTTCTGTTTTTTTCTCATGGTGAGTTGGTTCTAGTGGTGAGCTTGTGATGAACAGTTGGTGTTTAACTTTTTTCTTAGTGCATGTTTGCATGGTGGTTGAGCATCTTTGCTGCTTTGTGCTGTAAGTTTTTCATGACTTGCCTCAGCTGAATTTGAAGTGATGCATGACTGGGAAAAACTGTTTTTCAGGTTCTAAGGACTCGGACCCAGAGTGGTATAAACAAGTCTTTAAAAGAGAGTTGGGAGTTGTAAAAAGAAAAAAGTCAATCATAAGTGGTTATATCTTTAAAAAAAGAGCTCTGACCACTTAAATCTTACTTATATAAGACCAGATGTCTTATTCCCCACGTGGTAATTCCACAGAGTCATGCTCCCTCTGGCACCTGTGTGTGTACCATCACTGGCCCTTTCTGCAGAGTGCTTTGAAGCAACACTTGGCAAGGTCCTTTGTTATCCTTCCCTGCACCCCCAACACTTGCTTTAAGCCAGTTTCTTTTCTTACCACACTGAAATGTGTTATGAAACTCAGTAATTAAGAATATGGTTTCCTCATCGAATAAACATAGTTTTTTGATGCTATATTAGACATTATGGGGGATTAAGTACTGATCTTTTTTTTTGTCAATTCCAATCCCAAATCTTAGCTTCCCACTTTACATTTAAATGAGGATGATGATAGAAAGTAGTTGGTGAAGTTTTTGTTGCATGCATGCATTTTACTCTCTTTATTGTATTGAATAAATCCTTAGAAGGTGATGGAGAAGAGGTGGATGAAGTCCCTGAAGCAGAGAAAGCCATGGAAGAGGCTGGTGCAGCAGCTGCTGTTGAACCTGCAGCACAGGATGAGAGTGCTGGACCCACAGCACAGGATGAGAGTGCTGGACCCACAGCACAGGATGAGACTTCTGGGGCATCCCCAGAAGCTACAGGAGAGAGTGAATTACTGGCTCCAGAGGTATCCCATGCTGTGGAGGAAGCACAGCAGGAAGCTGCTGCTAATTCAGAAGCTGCTGCTAATTCGGAACTTGCTGCTAATTCAGAAGCTGCTGCAGTCCAAGGTTAACCTATGAATGTGGTTTTTGAGTGTGTGTGTTGTGAATTCTAAAGCTCTGCCTCTTACAGAATATTAAGAACAAACATCAGTGTTCCTAGTGGCAATGAAAACAAATTCAGGCATTATTTTGACATATCATGAGCATAGGGTAATTAAGTTTATTAAATCAGTGTCTCTAAAAGCGTCCTGATTCTGGCACCAGAGCTACTGTCTAAAACAAGTGGAGGCAAATGTTTATTTTACTACCCCATCCTATTTTTTAAGATATTATGCTGAGTATATAATGTGATCAGTTAAACAGTTGTTTCAGTGATCAAGTTCTCAAGGGTTTGTTAAGGAATCTAAACACTTTAGTTCACTAGCCATTCCAAAGATATTCACATTGAATAATTATATCTGTTCTATCAATGTAACTTAAACAGGATATTGCATAGCAAAGAAAATGATGTCATGGTCTTAATTTTAAGGATATATTAGGCTAAATTTTCATAACACAATAAAACATCAAATTGTTGTTAAACCGTGCCATTTATAAGTGGCAAAACATTCAGTTTTTTGAGCTGTCAGGGTGTTTGGAATATTTCGGTTCATTGTGCTTTTTAAAAAATTTCAATAGTACAAATGCAAAACTATCCATAAAATGCACAAGATACTGGATTATAATTTAATTCTGCAGATTTTAAAGTATTTTTAATTTTTTTTTTTTTTTTTACCACTGATCCTGAGAGGATATGTCTAAAACAGGTCAAATTGAGATTAAAAGTATTTTGACTGCTAATTTATGGGCATTTATCATAGTACTGTCAAAGGTGTAACAGATTTGGAATGATTTTCACTTTTTTCCTTGGTGACTCCAGTGAGGAATGGATGCATTGTAACTGCCTTTTTAACAAATGAACTTGAGAAATAGTGCAGCACTTCTAATTGCTGGGTTTTATGAAAGGTCTAGGTATGAATGTGATTTTAATTCAAGTGTGAATAGTTCCTTGCTTGTCTCTGCAAAAATCTATTACAAATAGCATTTTAAAACAATACTTAGTCTGATCTGCTGTAATACAGTATATAGAAAGTAGAAGTAAATACCTTGTCAGTGATTATTACTGCTTACAAATAGAAATATTTATATAAGGTAGTAATTAAAATACCTAGAGCCCTAAAAATTTCCATTTCTATGGAATATTTAGACCATTTAGAAAGGAAGCAGTCTGTTGTATGTTAAATTTAGTGAATTAGAGCCATTAAGAGATATGTTTAAAAATGTCTTGGAGCATTTATTACTTTACAGAGCAATTGCAAAATTTCTCTTTAATTTCATAAGCACTTGGTTGTGTCTGGAAGTGGTTGTGTATTCCTTTCACATGCTTAGCTATGAATAACTTAATTTTTGGATGAGGTAGGATCTTCTGTATGGTAAATATTTCTGCTATTTTATTGAAGAGGGTCTTCCCTGAGAAACATGGTGCATAAATTCGTTGGATATTAGGAAGAAATTCTTTCCTGTGAGGGTGGTGAGGCATTGGAACAGTTTCCCAGAGAAGTTGTGGATGCCCCATTCCTGGAAGTGTTCAAGGCCGGGTTGGATGGGGCTCTGAACAGCCTGGTCTAGTGGAAGGTGTCCCTGCCCATGGCACAGGGGTTGGAATGAGATGGTCTTTAAGGTCCCTTCCAACCCAAACCATTCTATGATGATTCTGTGATTAAGTCTGAGGATCTCGTTCTGGATGTGTTGATGTCATGTACTTAGTGATCACTATTTTTGATAAGAAGAAAAATGGCTTGTAACTGTTAGTTCCTGCTGGTGTAATCTGGAAGTGGAGGAGCACTTTAGAAATTATTGATTTCTTAGATCTAATGTCTCTGGCAACATACTTACTAAAGAAAACAGCACTAGAACCAGACTTCTGTTATGCTGAAAGTTGTAAGGGAGTCTGAGGTCATCCCAGGTGCCCTCTACCAAGCCTTGCTGCAGTGGTTATTCTTGGCTGGCTGGTAAAGATAGCAGAAACAAACCTTTGGGATGTAAAATTGTCAAGAAATTGAAGCAAAGGAGTGTTCTCCTTGCCTGAGTGTTCCTGGGATGCTGTAACTTGCTCCTGAGCACAGCTAGTGCCCAGGTGGTGAGCCCTGGGGACCTTGCCATGGCTCACATGAGGTTACACCCAGTGTAACCCAAGTCCTGGCCTGGGAGGCTGGACAGGCTCCTGCTCCAGGTCACCCTATCATTCCCTGCTCCCTCATCCTGGCATCATGCTCACAAGAAGATGGGGCTTTGTTTCAAAAGTTGTCTGCTCTCTCTGTACCACTTTGTTCAGTGTCTACTTGCAGCCAGCAGCCATTGTGTTAAAAAAATAATCTAATTATAATCCTTCTGGATATAACTTTCAGTTTTGGATTTAACCATCTTTATCATTAATGTTATCTCCTTTTAGAGGAAAAATATAGCATAGCTCCACTTTTAGTGAGGTAGAGAAACTTTAACTAGTTTTGTTGGCAGTTTGGTGTTACTTCTGCAGATGAAGGTGTAATTATTTTTATTGTTACCAGTGAACCTCTGCTTTTTCAAATGCCATTGTTTCTTTCAATCTATAAAGCTTTCTCTAATGTTTGGAAGTGCAAGCTGTGAAGGGATGCTTGTCTCCAGCTCCTGTATACAGATAATGTAAATGTATGATTATACATGGATGTGCAAAAAAAACCCCACCCAAAACAAAACAGATATCAAACAAACAAACAAGCAAAAAACCAACCCAGCCCTAGAGATGGATGCTTAATACTTAATGAGGGTAATCTCCATTTCAGACAGTAAACAATTGTGCCTGCCTGGAAGATCCTCCTTGCTTCAAGCAATTTACAATCCACTGTTGGTATCTGGAATTCTGTGAAATACTGTTACCAAAATATGGACTCAACTATATTACTCTGTTCCCAAGGTTTTAACTTCCTCTAAATTCTAATTTTCTTTACCTTTTTATTGCTTGAGCTGTCACTCTTGGTTACTGCCCAGTGCTGGTTCAATTCCTGTTGTTCTCCTTCTAGTGTACTCTGTGTCTGGGACCATAAATTAAGTTTTTCTCAGACAAACCAAATGCTGTAAAATTCACAGATTGGCAAACTTCTATTTGGATTAGGCAAGGTTGTTGCATCTGTGACTTCTGGTGTTTGGGTTGCCACCATAAACTCCTCTCTAACTCTGGTATTGAGGCTTGAGGTTTTGGCATTATCAACTGAAATAACAACCAATTAGCCCCAAACTGTGCTTTTCCAGACTTCTTCCTGACTCTTCTAGCATAGGTTTCTTTCTAATCTTGGAAGTATTGAAGGGCATGGTCTCTTCTCTGTTTGTTATTTCCAAGGCCATTTGAGTGAGTGACTGATTTTGGGGAGGATTAGTGTGTGAATGTGCCAGTGTTTTCCATGCTAAGCTCCAAACCCACTACAATGCCAGTTGTCTGCAGCCTAGAGAAACAAATGGAGGCTGCTCTGGGCAGGAGTTGCTGCTTTTGGGACAGGGCTTTTGTGCTGACCCCATCATACAGTGATGCCAGGCAGACAAAAGCACCCAATACAATCAGTGCACGCTGGCCTGGCTTGGTAAGTTACCAAATTCTGGCTTTGCTGACATTGTCAGTACTTAGGAAATTATTGAGGAGTCCTCAGAGTGATTTGCAGTTGCTCATACTTACTCAGAGGCTTTCAGAATGGCGTTGCTCAGTAGAACAGACACATCCTTGCAGGCATCTGTTTGTGTGAGATGGAGGAATGAGGACTTTTTCTCTCTTTACTCATTATCATAGACTGATCTAGCTAAATTAGGCCCTAAGAAATTGAATTGCATTAATATTATCCTACGAGGGAAGTATCTGTATCTGGGACTTCTGTTGGGTATTTCTGTTTCACATTTATCACTTTCTTTCATCTGTCTCTTGGACTGCTGCACTTATATCTCTATGATTGCCATACACTGGCCACAATTCTCTTCTTCCTCCTGCTTTTCCTTCATAAAACTGAGTTTTAGATGAGTCATGGTAGCATAACTGGAAAATCTCTGTTGGAAGAAAGTGAACAATATTTAGAAAAAAAAAAATTCTGAAGACCCCCGTTGGTACATGGAGAGACTGTTCAGTTTTGATCAGCTTAGCCAAAAAGAGAATTCTACAGCATGCACAGGGCTGGGGAGGAAGATTTTGGTAAAATGGAAAAAATCCCTAGAAGTTCCCAGCTAGGAGTGCAAACAAGTAAGTGGGGGAGAACTGCCTAAAATAAATGACTTCCTATTTGTCTATTCTAGAACAAGGGGGAAAGTAGTTTCTCAAAAATGGTAGAAGGACACACAGTGAATAATAATGCCTAAATGAATGTCTCTATTAAGGAGAAAATAGATGCACTGCTTTTACTAGTATTAGTAGCTCATTGTCAAGACTTAAAAAGAACCTTGAAATAACTATATGTATTCAAATTGGAAAGTAACAACTCACTTTGGACAACAAAATCTGTTAGCATTTAATTTACTGTGCATAGTATTACCTGTGTTTGAAATTTTCCTGTAAATACAACCACCACAGGAATACTGTTAGTCTCTTACTTTAGAGAAAAGACAGCAACAGGCACCCCTTGCTCTTTTCCTGTGGTGGCAGTTCAAACCAGAATGGGAACGATGAGGATTTTGATATTAGTTTTTGGGCAGTGTTTCTTATTGCCCAAATAAGAGAAAAACATCCTTTTCAAACAACTTTGCTCCTTTAAAAGCTGTGTAAGTGGATAAAACTTGGTGCATTACTTTGTACAAGGAATGTTAAAGAAAATGTCTTAATTAGAAGTTTTTTTAGAACTCCTGAAGGATTTAATACATCAAATTATTAGGGTGTTTTCATACACACCGTTTATATTAACTTGTGCTAGTTTTCTTTGTGATCCATTCCAATCAGGAACTAAAGAATGTTCTATGTTACAAACAAACAAACAATGTGAGTTGCTTCTCATTGCTACAATTCCACAGAATATAAAACAAT